CCTCTGGGGTCCTGACGGGGCTATCTTGATTGTCGGTCGGGAGCTTCGGGGGCTCTCTTGGGGTCTTCATGGAGCCGTCTGGTGCTGTCTGGGGGAGCCATTCGAGCAGCATTCCGACGTATTCTGGTGGCTTTTCGGACCCTCTGCGGGGCCTTTTGGTGGCCCTTTTCCTCCTCCTCCTCCTCCTCCTCCTCCTCCTTCCACTTCCGCATCCTCTTCCTCATCCTCTCCCTTCTCTCCTCCTCCTCTTCCTCTTCCTCCTCCTTCTCCTCTTCCATCTTCTCTCCTCCTCGTCGTCCTCGTCCTCCTCCTCTTCTCCTCCTCCTCCGTCTCCACCTCCTCCTTCTCCTCACCTCCTTATGTGTCCTCCTCCTCCTCTTCCTCCTCCTTGTCCTCTGCTGTTTTCCTCATTCTCATCCTGCTACGTTCCTCCTCCTCCTCTCCTCCACCGCCCCCTCCTCCTCCTTCTCCTCTCGTTCCCCCGTCTCTTCTTCATCCTTTTCCTTCTTTTCCGCCTCATTCACCTCATCACCTCCTGCTCCTGTTCTCCTCCTCCTCCTCCTATTCTCCTCCTCCTCCTCCTTCTCCTCCTCCTCCTCCTCCTCCTCCTCCTCCTCCTTCTCCTCCCTCCTCTGACTTCCCCCATCGTTCTCTTCCTTCCTCTTCCTGCCCCTGCCCCGCGACGAATCGCGTGGCAGCTGTGTTGCAGGCTTTAGCGGCTTCCTGAGCACTGTGTACGAAGGCGGCGGGACTGCGCCGCTGTCGATCCGCGGGACAGCGAGCGGGCCGCCCGTGCTCTTCTCCTGCGCGACAGGCGCTGTTGCCCATCGTCGCACGTGCGTCGCGCAAAAGGACCCCAGAGGGCGCGACGCAGGAAGGAACACTTACACTGGTCTCGGCAGTCCGTAAACTTCCCTCGGCAGTTTGAGTTCGCACGTGGCGCCAGGGTGCTGATATCGGCGTGCGCGGTCAGTTCGGAGGCAGAGCTGCATCGCCGAACTGGTGTGGATGCCATCCCGTCGGCTTTCCTTCCCCCTCCTCCTTCTCCTCCTCCTCCTCCTCTTTCGCCTCCTCCTCCTCTTATCCCTCGGGTGAGTTTGCGTCTGTCCCAGCTGCCAACGGCTACCGAGGGCGACCCTCTTTCTCGTTTGTGCCACGCCTCCCCAGCCGTATCAAGAGGTCTTCGGACCTTGCCGTTGGTGTGTGTGTGTGTGTGGCAGCATCCCGATGTTGACGCCAGCTGTCGAAACATGTTTTCCGCTCTTACCTTCTCCCTGCAAACGAGTTTGTTCGCGCGTTTCCGTGACCCTGGGTAGTCGTACGGTTCGTCGTTCGTCCTCGTTCCGATTCTCTTGTGGGACGTGTGAATTCGAAGTTTCCTTCTTCGGGGCCTCGACGCGTCCAGACTCTTCCATTCGCTTACCCTAGGGCGGCGCGTGTCCATCAGCCCATCTGGCTCATGAGATTTGTTCGCGAGCCCCAGTTCGATCAGTCGTGGCCGAGCGTGTGTGGCAGAGTTTTGGGTGGCGCGGCCAGATCCTGACTGGGGGCCCAATCGCGGACGTGAGCGCAGAGGGCGCGGTGACTCCGCATGCCCGTGAGACCATCGATGTTGCCACCAGATGCTCTCAGCGCAGAGGTTGCAGACGTGACCTCCGAGTTCGAGTCGAAGCCATGGACCTGCACCGCAGCGGCTGCAGGAGGGACCTCCGAGCTCGGCAGCACAGAAGCTACAGAAGGCCTGAGGTGGAGATATGTCAATATCCACTGCCTGGGTAACCGATCCTCCACACATAGCCACGTCCACCGTCTCCACGGGGTCCCAGGATCTCGCGCCCGCCGGCGGTGGACATGGACACTGCACCAGCCCACAAAAGCCTGCCACGCGCAAGAGTGACCCTTCGCCAGTGTGACCTCTGGTGCGAACCCACGGTGGTCCACCCATGGCACCAGCCTGCGCGCCTTGATTTGGCGTCCTCGCGGCTCGCCAGAGCTGTGCACCAGGGGGTCACTCTTGCCTATCCTGAGCTCCGACGTTGCGAATCACATGCAGCTGCAACGCTGCGACAAATAGCTACTGGAGGCCTAACCCCTGAGCTTTCTGTTGCATTTTGGGAGACGGGTCGCTCTGCGATGGTCCCGGGGCCCGCAACCTGGGTAGGACCTCTCCTGCGTGGGCGGGAGCGTTCCCAGAGCGTTCCAGAACGCTCTGAGAATGCCGCGGCGCCCGAGACATCTTCCAGACCCGCGGGATTCCAGAGACTCCCGATGTATCCTCGCCCAAGTTTGTCCTTGGCATGGCTTCGTTTCCTCCTGCGTGCAGCCTGAGAAGGGGCCAGGGGTCGACCTGAACGGTGTTAAGGCGATTTCGTGCACCGTGTCGTTTTGAGTTTTCTCTTTGCTCCGAAGATGTATCGGAGACAAGACGAGGGAACACGAACACAAAACGAAAACGAACCGAACACCACTGGCTTGGTCGAGCCTTCAGAAAGTCGTCGTTTCTTTATTCGTTGTTTTGCCGATCGGCGCGAGCCCTCGCACCCCCCCCGCTTGCCCCCCGTGGAGGAGATCCTGGCTGTCTCTGGGCGCCTGCTTTTCCGGCAGGCGGGGCCTTCCCCCGAGGACGCACGGCTCCGAACAGTGGCAGTCAGCAGATGGCCCGAGCCAGACCCCCCCCCCTGGCCCCCTCCCCTCCCAGTTTCCCCCTCCCCCCTCCCGCCCCGCCTCCTGCTCCGCTTCATTGCCTTTCTTCTGCTTCACAGTCGGGCGCCCCATTTCCCTGCTTCACAGTCGTGAAACGCTCCGTTTTCCGTCTCGCCTTTCGTCTTTCCCCGAAGAGTTGCCAATCGCGCGCTCTTCTGCCCACGCGTCCTTCTGGATGCCTCTGCTCAGTGGTGGTGGTGGCCGAAACGCCGCGCACTGGAAGCGCTCCCTTTGGCCGAGCCCTGCGCAGGGGCCTCCGAGCCGGAGCCGGCGCGGCGGCACCGCGTCTCGCGCCGCATCATCGTCCGCGCCCGCAACAAGCACCTGGCCGAGCGCCGGGCCCTGCGCGAGGGCGGCGCGCGGGCTGCCGCCGAGGGTGCGGACGGCGGCTCGGCTCGGGCGCCCTCCAAGGCCGGGCGGAGGAGGAGGAGGGGGGAGGAGGGGGGAGGAGGGGGGAGGGAGTAAAGATTTGGGTGTACAGACCTCGTTAGACTACTGTTAGTTGTGTTTCACGTAGCACGCTTAGAGCAAGCATGGATAAATGAGCAGTGAACGTATGTCACGTACTGGCTCAAGTCTGAGAAACCAACTTTGGTAGCGAGTAGACGTGCTTCGCTGTCTTGTTTGGCCTCCGCCGCCGCCATAGCGCCGCCGCCCCGCCAGGCCGAGACGTGCAGATTCATATACTACAACATTGCCATCGCGAGTTTCTCCAACCGCTTCTCCAGGGCCGTGCTTCAGAATTACTACGACGGCCCGAGGATCACAATTCGCGCGCAGTGCATCATCCTTGACTATATCTACGAGGTAATCCTATTTCTGTTATTCCTCCTACTTCTTGGAGCGATGGCACAAGACACACATACTGAGTCTGGCTTAGCCCTGGACACCTTCACGAAGAGTGTACCCCCAGGGTGGAGAGTTGGACTACCGAAATATCCTCTACGACGGTACACACAACTACTGCGCCTTTGGTGGCGCCAGACGGACATCTCCGAGAGCGCCACAGGACCGGCCATGGCCGGCAGGTTGAAGGGTGCAGCATTTCAGATCGCCAATAACCTGAAGGAGCAGCGCTTGGATCTAGCGACGGGCTTGGTTAGAGAGATGGTTGGTGATGAGCTGTTGGCCCAGCCGAGTCACGAGGCTTGGCAAAATGGTGCCGGACAGCAGTTCCCCGCCGAGCCTGCAGGAGCGACACTGCTTCTTCAGGCACTGCAGCGAGAGTTCGGCATGCAGGAACAGGAGATGAACATCCAATCTCTGGACGCGTTCTTCCTCCATCACCGCGGCAGCATGAGTTTGAGTGACTATCTCACCATGTGGCGTATGACGTACGATGAGGCGAATCAGAACAGCGGGCTTGAGATCAATAGTGTGGGAAAGTCATACCTCCTCTTGAGGACATCAGGTCTCAGTGACCGCCTGAAAGACGACATCAAGCTCAAGCTCGACGGCAATCTGGCTCGCTTCGAGGATCTAATGACAATATTGCAGCGGATGGCCCATGCAGAGCAGAACAGTGGATCGTCAATTCCCGAGATGATCAAGCAGCATTACGGACATCACGATGATGAATGGCAAGATGATAGTTGGAGCTGGAATGACGGATATGATGAATGGAGTTCCTGGTACGGCTATGAGGACGACTATGACTACAAATGGACAGATGATGATGAGCAGCAATCAGGAGATTGGTCTCAATACCTTCCCGCAGCAGATGACGGCACAGCTCAACATGATGAACTTTACGGTAAAGGACGTGGAAAAGGCAATCGTTTCCCCACGAGCGGGAAAGGTGAAGGATGCGCACGATGTGGGTCAAAGTTTCATCGCACATCGGATTGCCCGCTCAACGGATCAGGAACCTCCAGCTCTAAAGACAAGGGCTAGAGCAAGGGTAAGAGTTCCTCTTTCCCTTCCTCCTCTTCGAGCAAAGGTAAAAGCAAAGGACGTGGCAAAAGTCGGAAAGGTAAGAGTCGAAAGGGCAAGTCCCGATCAAAAGGTGGTTTCTACGGCGATGATGGCGAATGGTATGATGATTCTTCGGAGTTTGGCTACGGCAGCAACTACGATGATGGTTCAGCATACTTCACCCAGACGGGCAGCTATCACCAGTATTTCTCCTGGGCCGCTCCGAAGCCTGGAATCTTTGCAGCATCGCCAGCATCCGTGCCGACGACACCTCTTGATGTTCACTTCCTGACGCCAGGAGGAACGTCTGTAACGACGGGCTCTTTCGAGTTGCTTTCAGACTCTCTCCCGAAGACCCCAGCCATTCAGATGGAACTACCTCCCATGACGCCGTTGAAGTTTCCACAAGATGATGATGACGACGATGGTGATCCCCACCGTTTCCGGCCACCACCTGAAGCAGATGATGATGATGACAAAGAAGACCCTCAACGCTTCAGGCCTCCGCCGGAGGTCGAGGAGACCGTCAACAACAACACTCCCATGGACACTGGCATTGGCTATGGGCAGATCAAGCGCGGCATCTTCATGACAACGGACAGCCCCGCTCAAGACTTCAGCACGATGCACACTGTGCGTGGCAAGGAGGTAGCAGGTCTTATCGTGGATCCAGGAGCCGCAGCTGGCATCATGGGCACGGACGCGATGAAGGACTTTGTCAAGCAGCACTTGAAGAGCGCAGGCCTTCAGTACGAGCTCGAGCCCAGCACCAGCACCTTCTCAGGCATCGACGGCCAGTCAGACCCTGGACTGGCAGTTGCGACGATGCCGATCGGAGTTCCTGGATGCAGTGATATTACGTTCAAGGCAGATCTGATGGGCGGTACTGGCTCCAAGTGTCCTGGGTTACTTCCCAACTCATCCTTGTTGCAGTACTCGGCCGCCCTCTTCTGCGATATTCTTGACAATCATGATGGAGTTCTGGTCTTGAACGCTTCTGTCCCAAATGGCAAGAAGAAGGCATATTTTATCCGCGTCTTTCTCACGGACAGTGGTCACTACCTCTTACCCATCGGGAAGTTCGGTCAAGCCAATGTTGAAGAAGATATTCTAAAGGATGCAGTTCGGAACTATTGTCGCAACATCTTCGGTCATCGGATTACCGAAGATAAGGCATCCATTCAGCTCCATGGTCAGGCCTCGAGAACGGGAAGCAGTACTACGCCAACTCGCAGTTCCTCAGCACCCCCTAAGACAACAGAGATCAGCGTGCAATGGACACCGACATGCGATTGGCCATCATACAGCAAAATCACGAAGCACCATGACCTGGACTACTTCAAGGCTTGGAACATGACCGAAGGTTTTGTTTATGAAGGTGATCACTGGCCTCGACATATGGAAGAGCACTCAAAGCGACTAGCTCATGAATATCGTGCAATGCCAGAAGAATTCTACACTTTCACAGGCTGTGTGGTTATCACGCCGGACAACGTTCGTCAGTGGACGACTGTCATGAAGCGCTATCTTCACGGTGCCCCTCTTTGCCTGCAAGAAGGCATGAGTGGATCTGGCCGCCTCTCGGCAGCCGGAGCAGCTGTGGGTCTCAAGATCGCCTTCCCCGTGGACTACAGATATGGATGGGACTTGAAGCAGCCTGAGCATCGACGCCTACTGGATCAGTGCAAACAAGAACTGGGTGTCCGTGTTCACTACTGGTCCCCACGATGTGCTCCTTGGTCTGTTCAGTCAAATCGATCACCTCCAGATAAACGCGACAAAGCCCGACAAGCAGAAGGATCGACTTTGGACTGGGTAGCCCAGCACATGGACGACGACCAGGAGCGGGATGAGGCATCTATCGCCGAGAACCCTCGGTCTTCCTCGATATTCAGCAAGAGCCCGCTCAAGAAGGTTACCGAGTCACCATCGTTCACCCTGGGTGACAACAAAAGGTATCACACTGATCAATGTCAGTTTGGCGCGATCGACGAGACGGGCCTACCTACACAGAAGGCAACGGCTCTCTTGGCGACTGGCATTCAACTCCGACATTCAGTACGACAGTGCAAAGGCGAGAACAAGTGCAAGGACCACGGCATCTTGCAGGGCAGAGTTGGATCTATCCACCGCACAGCACTTTCGGCAGTATATCCTTGGTTGTTCTGTTTGGCCCTGCTCATGGACGTTGCTACGCACATCGGCAATGACACGGTGCAGCACAACATCGGCTCGAACGTTCAGCGTTTCGGCAGGAGCCAGTCTCACTTTGTTGGCTGGACATGCGAACGGTGCAAGCATGGAGCTAAGAAGGTCGGTCCCGATGGCCAACAGGTGGACACACTGCCGCATACAAAGGTCAAAGGCTGTCGCTTCGATCCTCTCCGAGCTGGTGGATCATCGACTGTCCCACCAGGAGGAGTTCCAGCACCAGAAGCAGCAGCACCAGCAGCAGCAGGACCAGCAGCAGCAGCACACCCAGCACCACCGGCAGGCCCAGTACTTGCTGAGCCGCCAGCTCCAGCGCCTGAACCAGACGGTGCAGGTGACGATCAACCAATACTACCAGAAGATGCAGATGATGATGCAGACACTGGGGATCCTCCTCCCGTACCTCCTCCTGTACCTCAAGGATCACGACCTCCTAGGAAAGCCTTAAAACGGAAAACAGATCCAAGGACACTGGAACCCTACGAAGACCCGAAGGTAGTTGAGCTGCCGGACTACATCGAACCAAGTTTCGACTTTGCCAAGATTCGTGGCAAGTTGAACGACCCTTCGATCAGCACCACCGAGAAGCAGAAGATCCTTCTTGGCCTCCATATCAAGTTCTGGCATGCTCCACGTGATGATATGATTCGGTTTCTTCGGCGAGGAGGTTTCGGCACGGAGGTTCTTACCCTGGTATTTCAGGTTATACCTAAGATGTGCAAGGATTGTATGGACTGGCGCCGACATCCGACACGACCTCAACATGGAGTTACGATGAGCCCTCACTTTAACTTCCGCGTGCAGACAGACCTTTGGTTTATCTGGGATATGACGTTCGTGGTCTTTGTTGATGAATGCATCAGCTACGCCCTCACGACAAGGCTCGATCACAAGACGGCAGATTGTTGGATGAACACCGCTTTCCACCTCTGGATAAAATATTTCGGACCTATGTGGTGGCTTGTTTCAGATCAAGAAGGAGCGGTCATCTCAGATCTGGTCTCCAAGGCGTGCGAGCATTTCTCGATCAACAGAGACCTTGGCGGAAGTCAGGGACATACTGCAGCGCCCAAGTGTGAGAGGCGAATCCAGATATTACGTATTGGCAGTATGAAGTTGTGGGCTACGGCACAAAAGCAAGGATGGAATGTCAGCAAAGAGCGTTGCGTCGAGGAATGTTGCATGACTACGAACCTGTCTCTTTCCTATGGCGGATCTACTCCCGCAGCGGCACTTACTGGAGTTCAACCACGAGAGCTCTATGATCATGAGAACCCAGGCCTCGT